CTGCCGAATACTACAAACTATCATTCCAAACATTGATACTGGCTTCATGCTGAATCAAAATTTGTAAGATACTTTCACTACTTACAAATAAAACCTTAATTACGATTTTCGCCCGGCGGCCATCTTTGTGACGTCATAACGTCACTAAGCTACCCGCTACCCAATTCTACAAAGTATCATGTGGTATCATACTAAACATTTATCCTACCTTCATGACAAATCTAAATTTTTAGGCCACATTTACTCCCCAGAAAGGAAACCAAACTGTCAATTTTTGTCCACTTGGCTCAACGCCTACATCCTAGACTAGCAGAGTTGGTCGACGAATATAATTCGAATCTTTCTGGGACGGTAGAAGCGTTCCATTACTTCTCTGGAATATTTTGTCTAATTAATTGTGTTGAATAGAATTTTTCCTGTTTCAAAATCAAAACTGAAGTTCTGCTTATATTGGCTGGGTTCGGTAATTGCATCTGCGAGTAAAAAGAGCAAATTTTGACGGACGTCACGTGATCACTTATCTTTTTCCACGTGTCAAATCACGTTAATTCTATCAAATTTTGCTCGTTTTGCTCGCTGATGCAATTACCGAACCCAGCCATTATTGATGTACCGGGTGATTGTCTATATTTTTCACTTACACCACACCTATCTCATTGTTTGCACATATACCCAAAAATGTCACACGTGAAAGTTGTAGGTAATATCAGAAATTTTGCAATGAAGTTAGTTACAAGTATACAGGTTGTGTCACAAAAATGTGGCGAAGCAAAGTTAGGTATACTTTTCCAAATGGAACGCCCCGTATATTATTGACCTATTGGATAAGCCTTTCAAACCTGATTCCAAATATACTAGGTTTTTTAAGTTTATTCCTCATAGTCCAGCCTCTGAATATCCCAGTTTGAAGAAATAATATGGATTTTTTACTTGAATGATTACCTTTATATTTTGCTGGTGATCTCTATACTTTATCTTTTTCAATAAAAATGCAATTATTCTACCCTTTTTTTTTGTTATTTTCTCCCGGACTATTAGGACTAAACCAAAATAGTATATTAAAGTATAAGTGGATATTGAGGTCTTTAAAACACGCGCGATTTTTCGAGCACGACGGCGCAGCCGGAGTGCTCGAAATAGAGCAAGTGTTTCAAAGACCAGTTATCCACGAATACTTTACACTATTTTTTTTATTGGTATACGTTCAAATTATAAATTACTTATAATTGTAGAATGCTAAAATTCGCGCTTAACACTTATTATATTTTTTTTACTACTAACCTGAGAAATTGTCATTATTCAATCTATATTTCTAGGAAAAAATTGAATTTCTCTCCCTAGGTGAATAATGAAAATAATGAAAAAATACCTAGGTTAATAATGAAAATGACGTCATGACGCAAGGATATTGTTATGTTTCTATTGGTTCAATTTCATTTCCATACGTCAATTTGAAAAAAAATACAGGTTTCTGTAGGTACATAGGAAGTTATCATAAGCTGTTGATAGAGGGCAGCCATTTCAAGAGGGCGTTCAAAAAAAAATAATTGGAGCACAGATTTTAAACAAATTTTTCATTTTCTACTAGCAGTAGTAAAAAAAATTCTATATATTCCTCGGTAGAGAAAGTCATTATATACCTCACTCATTATAAACCTCGGCGCGAGCGCCTCGATTTATAAAAGCGCTCGGTATATAAGGACCAACTTCTCTACCTAGGTATATAATATACTATTATTTGACGTTATCTACAAGTACCTAACCTACTCCTGACAAATCAATAATTAGGGAATCCAAACCACGTGACTTTTGCCAACCAGCCGGCATTTTGAAATTTTTGTGAGGTTAGAATACGGGTTGTTACCAAGCATAAAACGTCAAATTCTCGAAGAAATGTCAAAGAAGAGCAAATTTCGCTGTTATGAGAACTAGGCTTAAGCCTAGTACTCATAACTGCGAAATTCGCATTTTTTTGACATTGCGTTGACAATTTGACGTTTTATGCGTGTATCAAACGTCAAATTGTTGAAGCAATGTCAAAAAAATGCGAATTTCGCAGTTATGAGTACTAGGCTTTAATCCTGTCAAAAAAAAAACATATGTTTTTTGTTTATTTTTTGCCAACCAGACGCCATTTGGACAGGTCGTTGGATTGCCTAATTAAAAAGTTGATATTTAGACTTGTTTGGGTTGTTGATGTTGTCATGATAACTTTAAAACACGCGCGTTTTTGAATGTTGGATTTAAACACTCTGAGAAGTACTTTAAATAAGTGAAATAGGTTATCAATAAAAAAAAATGTAGTATATACAGGGTGAATATTTTAAGTGATACCACTATGGCTATATCCGAAACGGTAAGAGCTACAAGGACGGTTAAATTAGAAAAAAGTTGCCTTTTTTGATGCTCATTTGAGACTTGTTTACAGTGTTGCCAAAGTCCTTTTAGTTTATGAAATTTATAAAAAAGGCCTAAAATTATTTCGTCAATTATTTTGAAAACTATTGATATTCGGGACACAATTTAAATTTGAAAGTTTTATAATTTTTTTCGCTCTACAATATGACATCTTCAAATTTTAAATCCGACGTTTCGTGATCGAGATACTATCATCAACTTCATTTTTTTAAATACGGACCTGGATTTTTTATGTCATTTTTGGAAAAATAATTAAGGGCGCTTTCTAAAAATGACATAAAAAATCCAGGTCCGTATTTAAAAAAATGAAGTTGATGATGGTATCTCGATCACGAAACGTCGGATTTAAAATTTGAAGATGTCATATTGTAGAGCGGAAAAAATTATAAAACTTTCAAATTTAAATTGTGTCTCGAAAATCAATAGTTTGCGAAACAAATGATGAAATATTTTTGGACGTTTCTTAGAAATCACCCTGTATTTCATAAACTAAAAGAAATTTGGCAACACTGTAAACGAGTCTTAAATGAGCATCAAACAAGGCAACTTTTTTCTAATTTAACCGACCCTGTATTAGCTCTTACCGTTTCGGATATAGCAATAGTGGTATCACTTAAAATATACACCCTGTATATTTGGCATCAGGTTTGAAACGCAAATATACGGGGGGTACCATTTAAAAAAGTTTAACCTTGCTTTGTCATACTTTGGTGACACACCCTCTATACTTGTACTAACTCCATTGAAAACTTTCTGATATTACCTACAACTTTCAGATTTGACATTTCTGTTATCCACAGATTCTGTTATATCTCTTTAAACAGGTGAGATAGGTGTGGATGCAAAATATAGACAATCACCCGGTACATGGGCAAATTAGTATTTTTTGTGTTTTCGGTGATCAAAAATTAGTTTCGTTTTCTTTTTTCTCTATCGCGGAATCATGGGTTATTATAAATCCGGTCCCGGACGAAAATGTCAACACTGAAATCCTCAACTCGATTTTCGTAACGGTTCACTCGGTCCAGAGATTGCATCAGGTGACGGGAATTTTGCAAGAAAAAATACTGACGCAGCAATTCCACTATGGTTGATTAGCAATGCGTAGAAAATATTTAATCTTTGCATCGATCGGCAAGATAATATACATTGCTTCGGAGCAGATTTAACTCGGAACAGAAAAAAAAATCTCTCACGATTTCGGTAAACTAAACATTTACTGTAACGTGACGGTGTGGTATTCGATTGTTTGCAAATGCAACTTGGTTTAAACTACTTGAGCCATTAAAGTTAACCCGCAAATGCGACCATTCTGATAATTAAAAGCTGTTATTGCCTTTGAAAGGTTTTAATTGGTTTTTTTCACTAAAAAAAAAACACTTAAGTGTGCTACGATACAGCTCAATTATCATAGTATTGTCTTAATTAATTAATTGAATTCTGGTGGTGAAAGGTTCCTACATAATACAACTTTTTCTTTTTAGAAAGAAATTCTATATGTTTCCTTATTGTCTCTGTTAAAATAACAGTAAAAAACTTAACACTTCACATTTAAAATTACCTCGCCAGGCCTAAAGTATTTGTTTTAATAATTATTTATCCTCTTTAAACGTTTTATTTGTATTTCCTCCTTACAGTTTATCGAAAAGTGTTATTTAAAAAATCAATATGCTAAAACGATGATCTCCATAATCTTCATTAAAATATGAATGCGTTTTATTAAATTTTCATAGCCACTCTAACGGTCACAGAGTCCGAGCCTAGTTTTTTTCTAGTTTATGATAGAAAAGTTATCATAAATAAGTATCTAAAGCTTTATTGTTAAACTTTATAGTGCAATAAAAATAAAAACTATAATTAAAACCGTGTAGAAATTCATTACTTTTCCGCTATATTTACATAATGGTTCGAAAGGATACAAGGAAGTCGTAAATAATCTTTTTTTTTCCAATGGGAAACTGACATTTTCGTTGGTATCTACTAATTTTTTTAAGTTAAAAGTTTCGCTTCACTGTCTATAAAAGGTTACCTACTATTTGGCAATGGCGGTAAAAGTACTAATAGCGTAATAGCTAAGGACGATGTGGTTACCCAAGGTTCCTAAAGTTAAAAGGTTGTCTGGTAATGGGTAAATTGATGACATCATGTGGGGTGCCTTATGGAGATTAACATTATGTTGAGGCACCCCAGATGACGTCATACAAGTTATCAGACCACCTACCTCTCTCAAATAACCTTGGTGGTAACCGACCTTGACATATGACACTTTTTTGAAATGTCTTTGATGGTTTGACTATAGTGACTCGATATGGATATTTTCGCCACTGTATGTATGCATAGATGCTGCCACCTAATGTTGATGAGCGGTAGCTCTCACTCATAGCTCATTTTGTGAGAGTCAAACCCATCAAGTTTGCTTATTAAACGATTTTCAGATGTTTAGTTTTATACCAATAACTGCATAGAAAGCTTCAAACAGCTTCTTTGATAACGTTAAAAAAAACTTGCAACATTTTTTTTTGGCAAGACAACTGTCACTGTATTGAATGAGCTGTCAAAATATTCGATTGTTTTGTCAAATTCGGCGACCGACCGGTCAAACGCTTGAAAACTTCTAATGTCCGCGGGTTCACCCATTCGTACCTCGTAACGTCACAAAAAATAGCTTAGCGATTTCGTGTGACGTCAAATTTGAAGGAGTTAGGGAAATTTTCCTGGATAAATTACAAGGTAATTACTAACTAGAAGTTCTCGTGGAAATAAATGGCTATTTATCATATTTTAAGAAGTTATTGGGAAGTTTCCATGTAAAACTAAGATATTTGCAAGGGGCCCATTGAAAAAAGCACCCTGATGATGGTTGATGGTTTGTTACCAGAGAAAAGCCATTATTAAATCGTGATATGGTAGCAAATTAATAATACTGACCTCAATCTTTTTCAGATGCGCTTTACGGACAAGTTCCGTAAAAAACTGAACGTCATGTTGCAGTTTTTCGTGCTCAGCGCGTTTTCCATCAACGAATCTGCGGCTGCCAGGCGACCTATTGTCAATGGAACCTGGATGTAAGTATTTGCCAAATTCTTTAAATACTAATGATCACATTGTTTACTATCTTTGTAAATACAATTTTACGCACATCGTGTGTAGTGGTAAAGTAAATTGCACTGGTACAGACCAATCAGAATCAAATTCGACCGTCAGTCTTGAGAACCTTGAGTCTTGAGTACCTATAGTATAGACGATTTCGCCACTTTGGTTGGTCAAAAATGTACAGGGTTATTGGTTATAAATGTCACCCCCCTCTATCTTTTCTATTTGACATTTTAGAAAAAAGTGTCTCAAATAATAGTTTTATGGTTTAAATTATTTTTTTTGAAAAACTCACTTTCGCATATACAGGGTGTTTCAGAAAAGCTAATCGTGCTCCAACTTTCTTATTTTAAATGGAATACCCTGTATATTATTGAATATTCGGATTCTACATAAAATTCTGAACAGATTTCATGTGATATACCCTATACCTAAGTTCAACTGTTTTGGAAATATTGACAGTTGAAAATTGGCTTTTTTGCAACTTTGACAGGCTGTAAAACCTAAACGGTTAATTTTAGAGCAAAACCGATCTTACAATTTTATCTTAGATTTTCATAAACTATCAGTTGACACTGATATTTGACATACCTACTTCGAATTTAATCCATGATTCAAAATTGCGATTAAATTTAATCTTTGGTTAAATTCAAAGTTGGTGTCAAATCGTAGCTTATGAAAATCTAAGAAAAAAATTTAAGATCGGTTTTGCTCTAAAATTAACCGTTTAGGTTTTACAGCCTGTCAAAGTTGCAAAAAAGTCAAATTTCAACTGTCAATATTTCCAAAACAGTTGAACTAAGGTATAGGGTATATCGAATAAAATCTACTCAGAATTTTATGTAGAATCCCAATATTCAATAATATACAGGGTATTCTATTTAAAATAAGAAAGTCGGAGCACGACCAGCTTTTCTGAAACACCCTGTATATGCAAAAATGAGTTTTTCAAAAAATTTAATTTCAACCATAAAACTTTTATTTGGGACACTTTTTTCTAAAATGTCAAATAAAAAATATAGAGGGGGGGTGACATTTATAACCAATAACCCTGTACCAACCAATTTCGGCACGAAAAACAATGACGTCACGATAACTTTGTTATATAGGCCGAGTTCGTTTTTGTCATCTTTTTCGTCGATTTGCTCCGAAATTTTGACAGGCACGTGATTTGTAAATTGAAACTGTCTTATCTATTCACGTGCCTGTCAAAAATTCGGAGCAAATCGACGAAAAAGATGACAAAAACGAACTCGGCCCTATTTTGGTATGTCAAATTGGGTACCGAGCTTGGAGCACGGTTATTTGAATTGGTAGCTTGCTATCTCTCTCTAAGTTGGAGTAATTTAACCTCACTTTTTTGTTTATATTATATTTGAAATTAAACACAACAAATAAACCACAATTAATTTTCACTATTCCCAATTTCAATTTCCAACAATAAAAAGTATTGAGTAGTTTGTTTATTTTTATTTTCTCAGGCATACCATCACCATCACGTCATACACGTGACATTTGACAAACCGGCCGATTTCAGCTGAAAATGGTATGCGACCAGTGTTGCCAACGGAAAGTTATCAAAATGCTCTCCATTTGTAGTGAAAATGCTCTCCATTTGTAGTGAAAACGCTCACATTATGCTCACATGTACTAAAAATAACGTCAATGTCAAAATATCAAATAGTTTTCGAGTTTTCCAGTTTTAAGTATGACATTTGACATTTGACTGCGGGATCACCAGGCTGATGTACATTGGTCGGGTTCATCAGGACGTAGCGCTACAATAGCGATCATCAGCAGTGTTGCCAAATTATTACAATTGTGGCAAATTTTATACCTGTTCTTCTCACCAAATGGAAAAAAAGATGGAAAATGGTCCCAGCGCTCAGTGTTTCAAGCGGAACTCATTAATTTAAATATTTTTTGGTTAAATAAGTGAACATATAATAGATTTATTGGAAATGTAATAATGTAAATAATAGACCTATCTCGCATGATTAGAAAAAGAAAGCTTAATTATAATAAATACAAGTTGGAAAGCAATAAAAGATGACATGCGCGCGCAACTTGTAGGCTGCAGTGTAGCCAGATTATATTGTTGTAGAACAAATGTAAACAATACAAATCGAAAATTATAACATTAAAGAAGTGATATGATATAGTGTCAAGTGTTTTACAACGCCTTAAATCACACAAAAGAAGAGCTTTAAACTGGATGAACATCGTTTGCAGTTTAATTTTGATAAATGTTTCATCCGGCAACATCATTCAATGAAATTGCCAAGGAATATGTCAAATATAATCTAACAAAACCTTAAACGACACTGCGGTGAGTTCAAGTAATATGTAAAGTATTAGTTTGCTCTTTGTCAAATTACACGTTACAAAGAAAGAAGGAACGATTCATTCTGAAATGGCCTCTGAATAAGAATATGAGGCAAGCCTGTCACAAACTTGCTTCTCATTGGATGCTCACCTGCAGCCTACAAGCGACGCGCGCAGTCCACGTAATAGGAGATCGGTCTATTAACCTTTGATAAATATAATAGATTTGCTACATTTGTAATAAACTGGCAACACTGTTGATGATCGCTACTGTAGCGCTATGCTATGTCCTAATGAACCCGACCAATTGTCTTTTTTTTTCAATCGTGTTCATTAGAAAAAGATAAATAACAAACAGCTGGTGATCGGCTGTTGCAATCCAAGGAGAATACGCGAAATTCGCTCTTTTTTGACATTCCCTGCGTTTTTATTCTCATCAAATTTTACCAACGGATCCACCATTCTATGTCGGTCATTGTCATTTTCCATTCACTAAACGAAGATAGCTAACTCATCGATGAAGTCACCGGTTAGAATAAAAACGAAGGGATATCTTCGGCAATTTGACGTTTTATGCGTGTATCAAACGTCAATTTGTCGAAGCAATGTCAAAAAAGAGCGAATTTCGCGCAAGTGAGAATGGGGCATAAGGCGTGCTTATCAGTCTCGTTTTTGGTAATCGTCGCCATATTGGTGTGATACCATTTCCGACGTCATAACTAACTAATCAGCTGCCTAAACAGCCTACAAGGCAAGAAATGACATTCTGCTACGTCACAACTGGTATTTTGGCGTGAGGGGGGATTTGTTACACACAGGCCTTATGAGGAGAAGCCATCCTCTGGTAGTAGTAGTGAGTGTGTATCATCCTTGGATGGAATCAGCGTTTCTAAAACGGCCGCTTAACACGTGACGTGACATACATAATTATTTTCTAAAAAGTTGGGCGCTTGCTCTTTGCTATGCCACGAGTTATGACATGGCTCTCGTGCTACTGGGACGAATTTAATTTAATTTTTTCGGTTAATAAATATCAAAAATGCCCACAAAATGCTCACATCTTGCCAATGCTCCCATTTTTACCCACAGATCTATCAAATGCTCACACAGTGGTTACACTGGCGACGTCACTGTTGTGACGAAGAGCCTCTACCTAGCGGTTAACCAAGTTACCTACCAACCAAAACGTGGCAAAATCGTCTTATGTCAGAGTTGTACTGAACGTGATATTATTCCAAGGTTATTCCTAACAAAGTGTCCTACAATTTAAATCCGGTACCAAGAGGTAGGTTACCTGCAAGGTTGTTTTGCTTGATAACTTTTATGACGTCATCTGGGATGCCTAAAGCCTACTTTTCATGCATCCGTTTATCCGTCAATCCGTTTATCCGAAAGTATTCCTATTGGTCCAATATTTTGGCGCCAGAATCCGGAAGTATTCCTATTGATCCAATATTCTGGCGCCAAAATATTGGGCCAGATAGGAATAGGGCCAATAGGAATACTTTCGGATCAACGGATTGACGGACAAACGGATGCGTGAAAAGTAACCCTAAACATAATGCAAATCTCCTGATGATGTCATCTCTTTGCCATAAACAGACAATCTATTAACTTTAAAAGAACCTTGATCCGGTACAAAAATACACGCTGGGCTGAAACGAAACCCTCGTCCTAAATGTGGAAATCTTAACTTCAAATTTTTGTTGGTTATGTTACCGCATCCTTGTACTCTGTACAAATTTTCGAACATAAAATTTTGCTAAGCGTAAAAATTCTTACTGCACTCGTGTGGTAATATACCTTCATAACTAAATATTTCCTACGAGTCACACCGAAAAGAAATTCTAACGGTTTCAATTAAAATATTAATTTTTAACATACCGGAAGTCAATCTTCAGCTATATATCTTATCTTACACATCTCGATGTTCAAACAACCAAACGAACTATTGAAATTGATACCCTCGACAAGCTGGTTCTCGATGAGGTATCGACCAAAACGATCAATTCTATCACAGCCAGTTAGAAAATGTTTCTTGGTAAAGTCTCAAATTACCCTTCCAACTGCAGTATGCACTCTAATTAAGGCATTTTCTCGTGCTCCATCATTAGCGCCAAAATAAAAAGCCGGGGTCCCTCTTCGAGTGCGTGCGAGCAAAATTTAATTTTAGCCATTTCGTCGTGCACCGACCGACCGGCTCGTTATTAGTTTAATCGCTTTCCTGGTATCTATTAATAATTCGTATATAATAATCTTGATCTCTAGAGCAATTCAGAGTTTATTGTGCACTAACCTAAATTTTACTGCTAAGTGAAAAATTAATTGGCCACACAACAAAAGCAGAAACAAAATTACACTGAAAACCATTAAATTTATAATTAATTATTTATCTGGGGCAATGGGAACGAGGTTTTTGTTATTATACACAAAAGAAAAGAAATGTTTTTGGCCATTATAATTTAATTTATCAATCATTTCATACTACATTGCAGATTTTTAACTCAGTCCACTTAACTGCGATGACTGTGCCTATTGACTATCAGCTCCATCTGATGACAAAAAAAAATGACAGCTAGTCATCCATAGCCAACTACACACAATAAGAGATGTGACAGGAAACCAATAAATTAAACCCCGAGTAGAA